GTCCTGGTTTAGTCTCTGGTTTAGTCTTGGTTTAGTCCTGGTTTAGTCCTGGTTTAGTCTTGGTTTAGTCCTGGTTTAGTCTTGGTTTAGTCTTGGTTTAGTCTGGTTTAGTCCTGGTTTAGTCCTGGTTTAGTCTTGGTTTAGTCCTGGTTTAGTCCTGGTTAGTCTGGTTTAGTCCTGGTTTAGTCTTGGTTTAGTCTGGTTTAGTCTTGGTTAGTCCTGGTTTAGTCCTGGTTTAGTCCTGGTTCAGTCCTGGTTCAGTCCGGAGGCGCAAATAATGAAGAAAATTTTTTTTTTTTCTTATTTTTGGTTTTATATTGAAAAACAAGGTTCTTCTTCTGACGCATTTTTCACTTTGACTTTGATTTTATTATGACTTTGTTCTCGTAATATTACAACTTTATTTTAACTTCGACTTTATTCTCGTAAAATTACGACTTTAATGTCGAAATGTTACGACTTTATTTTCGTAGCGGCAGCAAGTTGTGTTTTTTTTTATCTGACCCTTATACTCCGTCGTACAAAAAAATAAAAAATAAAAATTCTAACAACAACAAATCATTTTCTATCAAAAAAAAAAAAAAAACTAAAAAGAAAAAATCTAAAAAGAAAAATGTTTTTCTTTTTCTCTGGTTTGCATCTGGTTTAGTCTCCGTGAAGATATAAATGTTTAATGCCGTACTGTGAAACATTCCAGACAAAAAAAATAACATCTTCATAGAGAAAAAACATAAAGTGCTCCGTCTAAAATCAAATTTCCATCGGCTCTGACGCAAAATATACATTTATACAGACAATATTTAAGAGCTTTGTTGTTTGTATTTTATTGTAATCAGAATTAATTTTGTGCTCATTTTTGTGCATTAATGTGTAAGATCACAGAGCGGTGTTATACCAAACTGTGTCCACAAGAGGGCAGCACTACACCACATCGCTTGAAAAAAGATTTGGTGGCGAAGTGTTTAGTGTTCGGTGAAGATTTTAGACGCTTTACCTGTATGGACGTGCTTATTTCTTTATTAATTTTATCTATTTATGTACGGTACCCCTTTAGACATTTTATATTTTATTTAGTTTTATTTGATTTTATTTTGTTTAGTTTTATTTTATTTAGTTGTATTTAGTTTTATTTTATTTTATTTTATTTTATTTAGTTTTATTTTATTTTATTGTTTCTTCTTTATTTTCATGATTATTTACAGTTTAGAGTCTCACTGAAGGCACCAAAATTATGAATTACGACATATACGGAATGAAGTAGACTCAAAATAACTCCAAACTTATTTTAGATTTAATTTTTTAAGTAGATTTTACCCTTTGCTTTGATCATTGATTTGCACTTTTAACATTTATTTATTTTTTTTATACCTATACACAGCTGTGAAGTGAAAAGCAAGTGATATAAAAATCATTTAGATATTAATTTGTGTTTGCTGTGTCATTCCATAAATAACTTGCTTCATATATTTGATCTCTCTTGTGTGTAGGTCGACATAAAAGGTAGAAATACAAAGAAAAAAAAAAAAAACTGAAAGAGCAGGCGTGTCCAAACTTTTGACTTTATGTAGTGTATGTGTGTTTTGGATAGGTGAACAAATAGACACCAAATATTATTATTAATTATTATATTATTAATAATAATAATAATAATAATAATAAATATATAGAAATAAGATACATGGTTTTACACACAGTTTATTTCAAAAATTCAACTGTTCCAAAATTACATTGAAAACAGACGAGCACAGAAACCAGAAATGAGGACGGTCTGAATACTAAAGAGTCTGCACTAAAAATTCTACGCTAAAGAGCGCCCTAAATAATCTGGACTATAGAGTGTGCACACTGAAGAATCTGCACTAATGTGTCTCCACTAAAGAGTCTGAATAATGAAGAGTCTGTCCTAAAGAGTCTGCACCATAAAGTCTGCACTAAAGAGTCTGCACTAAAGAGTAAGACTTTGCACTAAAGAGCTTGTACACTAAAAAGTCTGCATTAAAAAGTCTACGCTAAAGAGTGCTCTAAAGAGTCTGCACTATAGAGTCTGCACTATAGAGTCTGCACTAAAGAGTCTGCACTATAAAGTCTGCACTAAAGAGTCTGCACTATAAGAGTCTGCACTAAGAGTCTAAGAGTCTGACTAAAGAGTCTGCACTAAAGAGTCTGCACTATAGAGAGTCTGCACTAAAGTCTGCACTAAAGTCTGCACTAAAGAGTCTGCACTATAGAGTCTGCACTAAAGTCTGCACTATAGAGTCTGCACTAAAGAGTCTGCACTAAAGAGTCTGCACTATAGAGTCTGCACTATAGAGTCTGCACTAAAGAGTCTGCACTAAAGAGTCTGCACTATAGAGTCTGCACTAAAGACTGACTAAGAGTCTGCACTAAAGAGTCTGCACTAAGAGTCTGCACTATAGAGTCTGCACTATAGAGTCTGCACTAAGAGTCTGCACTAAAGAGTCTGCACTAAAGAGTCTGCACTAAGAGTCTGCACTAAGAGTCTGCACTAAAGAGTCTGCACTAAAGAGTCTGCATAAGAGTCTGCACTATAGAGTCTGCACTATAGAGTCTGCACTAAAGTCTGCACTATAGAGTCTGCACTAAGAGTCTGCTAAAGAGTCTGCACTAAAGACTGCATAGAGTCTGCACAGTCTGCACTATAGAGTCTGCACTAAAGTCTGCACTAAAGAGTCTGAGCTAAAAGAGTCTAAAGAGTCTGCATAAGAGTCTGCACTATAGAGTCTGCACTATAGAGTCTGCACTAAAGAGTCTGAGCTAAAGAGTCTGCACTATAGCGTCTGCACTAAAGAGTCTGAGCTAAAGAGTCTGCACACTTAAGACTTTGCACTAAAGAGTTTGCACACTAAAGAGTCTACGCACTAAACTCTCTGAACACTAAAAAGTCTGCATTAAAGAGTCTGCACACTGAAGAGTCTGCACTATAGAGTCTGCACTAAAGAGTCTGCATGCAAAGACAAATACACAAACTGCACCAACATTAAAAGTGTTTAAAAGTGTTTTTCAGCACAGAACTAAGCAGAGTCAGCGGTGGAAGAAGTACTCAGTTTTGTTACTTAAGTAAAAGTACAGCTACTGGAGCAAAAAAATAAAAATACTCAGGTAAAAGTATCACATAAAGACATCTACTTAAGTAAAAGTATTAAAGTACACGTTTAAAAATGTGCTTAAAGAATAAAAAGTAAAAGTATTTCACGCATATTTTGAGGTCTTCAAGTGTAAAAGTGAAATGATTCTGATAAAGATTTACAATTGAACAGACGGAGTTAGAATAGAAAAGAATTTTATTTGTAAATTTCTGACGACAAATGACTTCAAACTACAAATGTGTGAAAAAATAAACCCTCAAACTTTTCAGTAGGTTTCAGAAAGTAATAGAAAATACTTTTACTTTTCAGCGTTCAAAAGTAGTGGAGTAGAAAGTACAGATACCTGCTCTCAAATGAAGTGAAGTAAAAGTAAAAAATGTACAAATATCTCAATTTTTTTTTAGAAGAGAAAAAGATAACTGACAGGAGTTTAGAAAAATATGAGATCAGTTTTCATCTTTATAATCATAATAAAAAAAAAATTATAATTAAAAAATGGTGAAAAACGTAGAAAAGTCCAGATCTTCTTCTCCAGAGACGCTCACAGCTCCTCGTCCTTCAGCACTGAGGACACAAGGAGAGAGGAGATGAGGAAGGACACAAGGAGAGAGGAGATGAGGAAGGAGACAAGGAGAGAGGAAAAACAGGAGAGAGGAGATAAGAAAGGAAACAAGGAGAGAGGAGGTGAGGAAGGACACAAGGAGAGAGGAGATGAGAAAGGAGACAAGGAGATGAGGAAACAAGGAGAGAGGAGATGAGAAAGGACACAAGGAGATGAGGAAGGACACAAGGAGAGAGGAAAGAAGGAGCGAGGAGATGAGGAAGAACAAAAGGAGAGAGGAAACAAGGAGAGAGGAGATGAGGAAGGATGCAAGGAGAGAGGAGATGAGAAGGAGACAGAGAGAGAGGAAACAAGGAGAGAGGAGATGAGAAAGGACACAAGGAGATGAGGAAGGACACAAGGAGAGAGAGGAGAGGAGATGAGAAGGAACAAGAGAGAGAGGAAACAAGGAGAGAGAGGAGATGAGAGAGGGATGACAAGGATAGAGGAGATGAGGACAGAGACAAGGCGAGAGGAAACAAGGAGAGAGGACATGAGGAAGGAGACAAGGAAACAAGGAGAGAGGAGATGAGAAAGGACACAAGGAGAGAGGAGATTAGGAAGGACACAAGGAGAGAGGAAACAAGGAGAGAGGAGATGAGGAAGGACACAGAGAGAGAGGAGCTGAGAAGTACATAAAAATTGTAGTTAAGTTGAGTACTTTTACTTTTATACTTAGTTACTTTCCACCACTGGTAAAACAGAACCTTTGAATGAGACGTGAAGAAGCTCGTACTGACACTGGTGCTGGTGCAGTGGGAGGGTCTGAGGGGTTTGAGGTGTTTTTTTGTGTTTTTTTGTACCTCTCTTGACGGTGATGTCGTCCAGGCTCTGGACCAGGTGGATGGCGCCGACAGCGGAGGCGGAGCCCTGAGAGTTGGAGGCGTGACACTCGTACGAACCCGACTCCGCTTTGGTCAGAGGAGAAATCTGAACACAACAGAACAAAAAAAAAACAAAAACAAAAAAAAAACACTCTGAGGATCACGCTACTACTACTACTACTATACTACTACTACTACTACTACTACTACTACTACTACTACTACTACTACTACTACTACTACTACTACTACTACTACTACTACTACTACTACTACTACTACTACTACTACTACTACTACTGTACTACTACTACTACTACTACTACTACTACTACTACTACTACTACTACTACTACTACTACTACTACTACTACTACTACTACTACTACTACTACTACTACTACTACTACTACTACTACTACTACTACTACTACTACTACTACTACTACTACTACTACTACTACTACT